AAATAAAAGGCAAGATTTCAAGTATTATATTATGCAACCCTGGAGCCGACTCTAGTTACAAAGAATTTCTAGAAAAAAATGAACACGTCAGGCTCCAAACATAGACGATCCGAAACGTAGAGTTTTACACAGTCGACCAGCCTTTGTTCGCTAGAACCAATCAAGAAGAGGCATCGCAATGAGAAGAAGAAGGCCCAACGCAGGAAGATATTCCACTTCCAATGCGGCTGTTCGATATTCCATACGAACGGATGTATCGAACCACATCCACTGGAGAGAGAAGATACTGTCAGGGGTCTTCTACGACACTTTGAGGAACCCGATGTGGTTCAGAGCCGTAGACATGTCCATGCCGGGGAATCAAGGGGTATACAAGATAGAATGCCTGTTCAACTACAACCTCTAGAAAGCATTGGGAGTTCGGACGTTCACCGCGACAATGTATACGTGGCTAACATACAGTGGTCGCAAAAGCCTAACGGAGAATGTATTTACCCGGCTTATTGCACGCAGGATGACGAAGACATTATCCAGCTTTGGGATTATTAGCCCTATAAATTATTGTCTCGCACTGACCATTGTACTCGACGAGCTTTCGTATTATGTAAAAGATTGGCGGTGGAAAAATATTTATGTACATTTTCACAATTAAATAATAAAATGTTAAGATATATTTAATTAATGTGATTATTGTTTTGGATTATCAACAATAATATAAATGGGCCCAATTGCAGTATTCCAAATTAAGAGGCCCAATTACAGTCTCCCAAATGAAGAGGCCCCTATACAGTCTCCCAAATGAAGAGGCCCATATAACGTGACAAGGCCCAAAACACTACAATGTTTTTTCATAGGCCCATCAAAACTATGAAAGAAGTGGACACTAGAATGGATCATCGCAGCCCAGTAATCCATTATAATACACAACAGGATAGAACTACAACACATTTGAACAAATTATTTATTTTGGAATAGTAACAATTATACAATTATGATAATTAGAAAATTGTATCACTATTCCTAAGTCCACGGCCGAATTTTGACACATCTTCTGAGAACACACAGATATCAGCGGCAGGATGTGTGTCTGCACATCGTTCCATTGTCTGCATGGATGAAGCCATCGCCTAGGTTTCTAATTCGGAAACCACTTTCAGACCGGCGAATAGAGCATCTTCTTGCCGCTGTAACGTGTTGATGAGCCGGATTAAATTTCCGGCGTTATCTTTGCCGATCACAAACAAGGACCAATACAACAACAAAAGATCCGGCTCGTACTTTAAAATCAACCGCATAAATTGACCTAGATCTTCGAGATCAACCGCCTAAAATCAACCGCCACGAAGACATTATCTAGCATTGGGATTATTAGCCCTGTAAATTATTGTTTCGCACTGACCATTGTACTCGACGAGCTTTCGTATTATGTAAAAGATTGGCTATGGGAAAATATTTATGTACATTTTCACGATTAAATAATAAAATGTTAAGATATATTTAATTAATGTGATTATTGTTTTGGATCATCAACAATGATGTATCCCCAAATAGATACATCATAGTTTCACCTAGTTTCCATGTGCACTGACAGAAATTCTTGTCTCATATCATTTGGGTGACCAACCACTACATCTATTTGAAAGTATGAAAAACACCATAACATCCAATTTCCATACCGTTTTCAGACACAGGATGAACGGTTCTTCGACGTTACTCACGATTGAACTAATCGTCATTTCTATCCAAATGTACAAGGGGCCAACAACCATCAGGATGTGCTGAAATACATCTCCAAATATGGGGATTACACGGAATGGGGTGAATTCCATCAGAGGGGCCACTGCGCTAATCAGGACAACAACGAAAATATATACCATGAGGCTTTTGCAGCCGGAAGCAAAGAAGAAACTATGACATTGGTAAAAAATAGCGATCCAAAATGTTTCTAGTTGAATTACGACAAGTTGTCATCCAATTATGACAAAATTTCATTTACTTCGCCATTGCCGTATGTTCATCAATTTACAGATACAATGTGGATCGTTCCAACAGCCATACAGCAATGGGTTGCAGAAAATATAAGGGACGAAACCCAAAGACCACACCGGCCCAAGAGAATTATAATTGAAGGCCCATCTAGAATTGGGAAAACATGTTAGGCCCGGTCTTTGGGGCCGCATAATTGTTATTCAAGTGTGTTGCCATCTTCCAAGCTTTTTTCGAGTAGCCCTTTTAGTAGATGATCCTACAATATTTTATGAAATTTGGTAAATGTTTGTTAATGATTTGTACATGTTTTGATGAGCATAAATGTAGCACCATGAATGATGTGTTCAATGAGGTAAAAGGAGTCATTTTGCTGGGTGTTGGTGAGGACTGCTTGCCCTTGCAAGCACCACGTTCACCCCTACCCTTCTTGTCGTCCTTTTTGGTGGTGGATGGGATGGAAGAGAGAGAAGAGAAAGTGTGAGGAAAGAGAGAGAAAGAGAGTAGGTGGTGGTTAGGGTTTCAGACATGGAAGAAAGAAAGGGTCAATTGTGGGAGATTTTGTGTTTCATTTTTTTTGTTCTTCTTTTGCTCCCTTACATTTCATGTGTGAAGAGATTTGCAAAAGTTAATACTCAAATGCAATCACTTTTCTCATCTTCCATTTGAATTAATCTTTTCTTAAAGAATCATAAAGTCAAGTCAAAACATTGTGTTTTTGGTATTATTTTTGCCTTTCGTTTTATGTTTTCTTTTCTTGAAACAGGACAATGAAAACTATCACCAAAAAAAAAAAAAAAAAGAAAAGAAAAATTGCCTTGTTTTACTCCATTTTTTAAATTTATTTTAGAACTCTTCTTTTTTGGAAGAAACACTTTGAAGCTCTTTTTTGAATTTGTGAACATGTATATAAGATAGTGAAAGACAGATTAGCCCTAGTAGCTCCTAATTGATTCAATATGGTTGGTATTTAAGTAAAAACTATCACCGAATTAATAATATCAGTTTTATTATTTTGAATATTGATACATATCGCTTATCTTATCAAATCGTACTGAGCCAAATCGATTGAAATGGTTCGATTGAAATGGTTCAAATTTGAATTATTTTTTAGTATAGTCACTACTCTATATAAAAATATTAAATTGATGGACAAATAACTAATTTAATATTTTTATATAGAGCAGTGACTATACTAAAAAATAGTTCAAATTTGAACCATTTCAATCGATTCCGTCAATACGATTTGATAAGAGAAGCGATATGTATCAATACTCAAAATAATAAAATTGATATTATGAATTCGGTGATAGTTTTTACCTAAATACCAACCATACTGAATCAATTAGGAACTACTAGAGCCAATCTATCTTTCACTATCTTATATATACGTTCACAAACTCAAAAAAGAGCTTCAAAGTGTTTCTCCCAAAAAAGTAGAGTTCTAAAATAAATTTAAAAAACGGAGTAAACTAGGCAATTTTTTTTTTTGTGTGGTGATAGTTTTCATTGTCCTGTTTCAAGAAAAGAAAACATAAAACAAAAGGCAAAAATAATACCAAAAACACAATGTTTTGACTTGACTTTATGATTCTTTAAGAAAAGATTAATTCAAATGGAAGATGAGAAAAGTGATTGCATTTGAATATTAACTTTTGCAAATGTCTTCACACATGAAATGTAAGGGAGCAAAAGAAGAACAAAAAAAATCAAACACAAAATCTCCCACAATTGACCCTTTCTCCCTTCCATGTCTGAAACCCTAACCACCACCTACTCTCTCTCTCTCTTCCCTCACTCTTTCTCTTCTCTCTCTTCCATCCCATACACCACCAAAAAGGATGACAAGAAGGGTAGGGGTGAACGTGGCGCTTGCAAGGGCAAGCAGTCCTCACCAACACCGAGCAAAATGACTCCATTCCTTTTACCTCATTGAACACGTCATTCATGGTGCTGCAGTTATGCTCATCAAAACAAATATCAAAACATGTACAAATCATTAACAAACATTTACCAAATTTCATAAAATATTGTAGGATCATCTACTAAAAGGGCTACTAGAAAAAAGCTTGGAAGATGGCAACACACTTGCAGCCACCTACATGTCCTATAATATATAGGACTTTTCTTAAGTGTGCAACTTACACCTTACACTTATGCTTTTCTGTTTGCTGTTCTGTTTTATGTTTACACCTTCCATTTACACCTTTTGTGTTGGTTGCATATGGTGTGCAACCTTGAGGGGTTACACACCATAACAGTACCCTAATATATATTGTTTTTCCATCACAAAATCATTTATAAACACAGATTCACATTGACACACATGGACTGAAATAGCATAGATACAAGAAATTCAAAATTCACAGAGCCCACAGTATTAAAATTCTATCAATTGGAAACTCAAGAAAGTCTTGAGGCAAGACTTACAAATTCATTGCCTCTTACAAGTGACATTTCAATCTTCTTCTCAGCCCTTTAAATGTCATTACAATATGTGACATTTCAATATAGCACTCTCTACAAACGACGAGAGTCAAAAAAATATTCTACAATCCAAAGCATGAGGAAGAAAAGGACCAAAACAAAACAAAACAAAACAAAATCATATACTTTTGACAGCCAAAAAAAAGGCAGCACACATGCTTTCATGAATGCAGTGTTTCAAACATCTGACTATAATGAAATGCCTAATGCTAAAAAATGATAAGAAAACAAATATGAAGAATGCAAGATGTCATGCTCCCAACAGAGCAAACCCATGAGTCTACATAAATAAAAAGATATGCAACCTGACTGACTGACTGACAAGATGCCAATGAACTGAAACAATGCAAGAACCAAATTAACCACCCCAAAATTAACCCCCCCCCCCCAAAAAAAAAAAAAAGAAAGAAAAATTATTAACCCCCCAAAAACAAAATTAGGCTTAACAAATATGGAAAGCTATCAAAGTAGGAAAGAGAAAATGGCAGTCGGGTGGTTTTAAAGTGTTGTAACAAGCAAGCCAGCTCTTTGCAGTAAACCATTTCAACTGCTTAAATCACTTGGAGAAAGATGGCATTGCCAGGTTGGTATAGGGTTTCTTTTTCTCAAGATGACTGCTGCTGAACCATAACAAGGACCAATGGACAAGCAGCATAAGTTATGTCTATTCAGCGTATCAGTACACACCCACCTCCCAACCAAATCCTCCAGATACATGATAGCTTCTCAATGAAGGACATTACCCATTTCTGATGAGCCAACACTGCGCACTTCCTCTGTTACAAAGGGAAAACACGACCCCATGGTGCTGATGCAAGAGTTAATGACAACTTGAAGTTCAATTAGTTCAGTTGTCTGAGAGGTGATGACCAGACTTCATGAATGCAAATCATGGACCCCATGGTGCTGATGCAAGAGTTAGTGACAACTTGAAGTTCAATTCAGTTGTCTGAGACTGGTGATGACCCGACACGATGAATGCAAATGCTGGACCCGACTCGACACACCCATATGCATGCAGGGACTCCTAAAGGAAAAGAATATACCAAGTGGCAGTAGCCTCAAACAGAAATTGCACGGCTAATGGCCAACTTGGCCCATTCAGCAGATTCCTTAATCAAATGATCCTCTGAGGACAAACATTCATTTAAAAAGTCTTTGCTTGACAGAGATTGCTGAATCAAAGAACCAGCATTACTTCCCAAAGTATCTGCTAGATCTCCAAGGACCCCAATGGCAGTTTTCATCACAACATCATCCCTGAGAGTAAACAGACATGACAGATAGAGTTAGAAAAAATAAACCAGGCAACTAAAACCAGGTATTTGAACTATGAGAATGAAACTAAGAACTCACATGTCTTTCTCCATGTATATGCTATCCAGGAACTGAAGAATATGAGGTGCGTAAGGGACCAACAGTTGAGTTTTAGGAGAATTTTTAAAGCCTTGAAATATTCCAGAATATGCTTCCAATATCCCATTTCTCAGAAGATTGGTGTACTCAGTCATCTCATCATCAGCACCTGATGTGTGGGCAGACAACTCTGCAGCACTCTGAAGCATAGGCATGGCATACATCAAGTACTTCTCAAAATTTTCACCTATAGCCAGTGCTATGTCACCAAAGCATGAAAAGATGGGAGGCTTCACAGATCGATGCAACTGATTGCTCGATAAGTCTTTAAGAAGCTGTGTCATAATCCCATCGCAGTAAGGCAAAATCCTATCCTCCAATGCTCTGCATATATCACCCACCACACCAACCGTGACAGCACAGACTTGGTACTCCTCAAAATTCTGCAGACCCATTTCCAAATACTTATAAAATTCTGGCATGTATTTTGCAAAGTCTGGACCCGTTGCATACGCAAGGGCTCCAATGGCAAGCATCGCCTCCTCGTGCACAGTGGCATTTCTACAAGCAAAAACCCGGAGGAAGAGATTCATGATCTGATCCGCAAACTGCATGAAGAGACTCTTAGTTGGCTCTGAAGATCCTAGTTTCTGAATAATAACCTGTAAGCACCCACACAGAAGGCCTTGTAGTTCATTCTGCTTCTCCCTCTCATCAGATGAAAGCTTTTGTGCCTCAAGAGTCTGGTGAAGCTCCATCATAATGACAGGAACTAATTGCAAAACCATTGGAGCTGTTTCATCTGTTGAACACCTCACCACTTCATTCAAGGTCTCATATGCAGCAGTTCTTAATCGTGATTCCCCAGCATCTTCCCTGTGAGTAACAGTGAGAAGAGACTGAACAATTTCCTGAAAATAAGGAGTTAAGGGAGAGGACGAATCAATATCCTCATAACCTTGAGCAAGGAAGTAGAGAGCACCACAGGCCTTCTCAGCAACATTAGGTGCATCCTTCATGCTTTGAAGCAGAACGGTGATAATCTGTTGACAATTTGCCTGAGTAATTATGGGTGTTTCCATAGTTGAACCATGTAAGAACTCAAATATTCTTCCGAGTGTCCAAGCAGTTGTGTCCTTCACATGGCTATTTGGGTCCTTCGTTAAGGCAGTGAGCATGAAATTTAAAGCAACGTTAACAATAGGTGTTAACTTATCAGGTGAAGGACCCTCCAAAATGGAACCAAATGCATAAGTGGCTGCCTCCCTTTGCCTCCAATCAAGTTTCGTGATGTTCTCTTCAATGAACGGCATAACAAGTGGTACAATATCATCTCCTACAGTTCGTGCAACCAAACCTAAGCAAGTGCCACCAGCCATGGCAAGATTCCAAGCCCCTTCATCCTGATCCTGATCCTCCTCTTGCTTAAGAAGTGTTTCTAACAGCAAAGGGACAAGAGCAGTGAGCGCTTGCTTGATAAAATAAAAGCAGGGAATGTCAGAATCCCCTGTAAAATCACCCCCATATTCTTCTAATATATCTATCTCCTCATCACAGATTGAGCTCCAAAATTCGATAGCTTGAAGGGCCACAGGCTCCTCATCTTCCCTCACAGCCTTTGCTGTGATGTTAAAAATGTCTTGTATATAAGGAGCTAATTTCTCATAATATGTTGAAGAAATGGAGACCAAACACTCAAAAGCTGCCTGCCGGATCTTCACTTCGGGGGATAAAGTGGCCTCACAGACAACTCTCATGATATAATCACGCTCCATATCATTGCTAAAATTGGCCTGAGCAAAGCCCAGAGCATTATACAATGCTCTGGTAGCAGCGAGCCTAACATCAATACTGCCTTCTGACGCATTCATCCCCTGAACCACAGCCGTAAGGATTTTGTTCACATGATCTTGATCTACAACAGCTGGAGAAACTTCTTCACACAAATACCCCAATGTTTCTAAAGTGGCTTGCTTGACATGAACTTGAAGCTGGTGAATATTTGACAAGAGTGATCCTATCAACTCAGGCCATTGTTTCTGTGGCAACTCAATTCCTGCTACCTTTGCAATGACTTGTGATGCAGTTGACCGGGCATCGGGCACAGGAGAAGAAAGGGTCTGCAGCAAGCATGTCTTAATCTGGCTCTTCACAGCCACGTCTAGTGACAACCATCTTTGAACAAGTTCAAATTTTCTATGTTGTTCCTTGGCATCTAAAGCATTCTTAAGAATCAAACCTGCTAATTTACGACTATCTACAGGCTTCTCGTTGTTAGCAAGCTCTCCTGAGAGGGATAACAGGAAACCTGGAAGATTCTGCTCCTGAAACTGTTTCAAACTTTCTTCTGCATGCTTCCGCACAGCTCCATCCACCGATTGTGCATTTAAAAGAAGCTGGGTGATTTCCATTGCCATGCTGTATCTGAGAGTACCACATGATGCAGATACAATGATAATTATTATAGAAATTCAGAGGAAATTGCCTCCAACATAGATTAGAATCCAATCGCAAATCTACTTTATAAAGAGCTTAAAAAATGGTGAAACAAAATTATAGAGCACCAACGAACCCAGGAGGAGCACAATGACTTAGCAAAACTGCTAAAAAAAAAAAAAAAATTGCTATTGAGAACAGAAAGATTTGAATACCAATATCAACGGATCCAAGCAAGCACTGTTCTACCCCTCAAAGTATTTAGAAAGAGGAAAGCAGTACAGTAATGAACTTATTAAATCACAAGTCAGTGAAGTTGACTTGCTACATATCCAGAGAGATAGCAAATTCTGAATCCAAATCATCAAGCAAACATACCCTAACATCAAACCTTCCCCAAAACAAAGGATACAAATTCATTTAGCTTGTGTTTGATTGAGGGATTTGGAGAGAGATTTGGAAAAGAAAAAGGAAAAGGAAAAGGAAAAGTTGAAATGTAAATATATTTTATTCACATTTCACCGTCTTTTCTCTTTCTCTTTCTCTTTCCAATTTCTTTCCCAGATCTCCCAACCAAACACAACATTAGTGAACAAATGAAATTCAATGCAAGCCAAATCAATTAATAGCACAAGAAAAAAGGGGGTGTTTTAGTAGGAACTCAAAACAATACAATCAAAACCCTAATTTTACTAGATAGCAAATACTGTATCCAAATTATCAAGCCAACACCCTAACATCTAAAAGTCGCAAAACAGTTCAACCGTTACAGCTAAAACAAAGGCGAAAAATTCATATAGTGAACTAATGAAATTCAATGCAAGTCAAACCAATTAATAGCGCAAGAACAAAAAAAATATTTCAGCAAAACGATACATTCAAAACCCTAATTTTACTACACCAAAGCTCCGCATAACCAACCCATCCGAACTTAAACGGTTCGAATTTCCACAAAATTACCGATGCAAAATACCGATCTAATGACATTTCACAGATCCATGAACAAAATCCATCAAACCAAACACATTTCAATACCGATAAAAAAATGAGAACTTGATACGGATTAAAGCATCGCAGAGAAAATCGAATCAATAAGCAACAGATCGAGCATCGAAATCAGCGTACAAGACCTAATCAGATGAAAATTGAGCAACAGAGGGGGAGATTCAGGAGAGTGATGATAAAATTACCTGAGGCTTGATTGTTGATGACTAAGGATGTAGGAGAAAGTGGACTCCCCGAACGGTAATTGCAAAACCCTAGGAGGTAAAGGGAGAGAGGGAGAGAGGGAGAGAGAGAGTTTTAGAGAGAAGAAGAAGAAGCAGAAGCAGGGAACGTATAGCTGGAGTTGAATTAAGAAATAATCACTATTATGTATTTTCTAAATATTAGTGGTAAGTAAATTAATTATTAATTAATTTTTATACGAATCAGATACTGACAACACACCACCACTGTATGGTCCACTATGATGTGTCAGTTGATTTTTGGATTTTTAATATGAATAAATAAAAATATCGTAAATATAATAAAGATTTTTTTTAGAGGACAATTACATAGATAACCCTACAATTTAATTCTTGTGACTAATTGAACTTCGGATTTTAATATTTTTTAGATTAAATCCTAATTTTTTAAAATTGTATCAATTCGAACAATCTGTCCATCTCTATTAACTTGAACTATAATGAAGAAGGGAAGTTGTGAACAATTTTCATAATATTTTTATTGATAATATTGTCAATGTACTTTTTCTTTTTCTTTTTTTCCTTTTCTTTCTCTTCCATGACTATTATCGAAACCGTCTGATCTATTCAATGGTAGAATGGTATGTTTCAAGCAGGGGTGGGCGTCATGTCGTATTGGGTCATATTTGTATTGTGTTATTTCGGGTTTGTGTCAGAATTACCTTAATTCTAACCCGATCTGTTTATTATTTCGTGTTATCGTGTCATATCATTTTTAATTCATGTCTGGTTCATATCGTGCTAACATGTCATATCAAAAAATTTCACTATTAATTAAAAATATCAAATGTATGAAAAAAATTTAAAATTTTCTTCACAAGTTAAATTTAATGAAACTAATCTCTATTAAACGAAATTATTTATAAAAATATGGGAAATTTTGTTTAACATCTCTCTCAAACTTTTAATATTGGGAGAGGTTTATAATATATATATATATATATATTTTTGTAGTCTAAGGTCCCTCATCCACACCCATATATCACACAATTTCTCTCTCTCTCTCTCTCTCTCAGCATGTTCTTCTTCCTACTGACACCGACGTCGTCATGCTTCTTTCCTTTCACTTTTTTTCGTCATCAGCCATTCACTTCTTTCCTCTTTCTCCTTTGTCCCCCAAACCCTAGACCAAACCAACCACCTTCAGCATTTTCTTCATCCTACCGACACCGGCGTCGTTATGCTTCTTTCCTTCCACATTCTTCCGCCGTCAGCCATCCTTTCTTTCCTTTTTCTCCTTTGTCCCCCAAACCCTAGACCAAACTCACCACTCCTATAGCAATTCCGATTTAAACTCGACTCATTTCTTGCTTTTGAATTTGGGAATCCATGTCCTTAATTATTGTTCATTTCATTTTACTATTGTTGCTAGTTGAGTTTGGTTATTTGGGAGTTATTGTTGCGTTTGAAATAGGTTGGGAGTTAGTTTTTCAAAAAAGTTGTCCAGATTTTTGCTTGTTCGCTTGAGCAGTCTTTCTTGTGCTTAAGTGGTTTTTTATAGTTTGCAAAACTTCTAAAAGTAGAGTATCTTCACTCGAGCAGTCTTTCTTGCACTTAAGCTATCTTTTACAGGTCTGAGCTTCTAGGAAGGAGTCATTGTGTGCTTGAGCCGTGTTTTTGGTCGCTTGAGCGGTGTTACCTTTTTGTGTCTATCGCTTGAGTTGAGTTTTGGTCACTCGAGCGGTTTGCGAGTATCTTAGTTCAAGAAAAGGGTTTTTTGAATCACTTTTCACTTTCTCTCTCTCTCTCTCTCTAAAACATTCCAAAACCGTAGTTCTTTACACACTCTCTCTAGTCCTTGCCTTAAAGTCCCAAATACTCTGTCATCCGTTAATTTCTTCACTCTAGTCCTTTGGAGACAAAGGTAGAGCTCGTATCAAGTTTCGTTCTAATCAGAGAAAATCGCATTTTCGGCTCCGCCAGACTTTAACCCTTGCCCTCTCTTGTCTTTTAATATTAAGGTACGAATTTCTTCAGCCTCTGGTATGATTTTTATCTTAGTTATTTGTCCATTGTAAGAATCTAGTGATTTTGGAGATTTTGGGTTAAACCTAAGGTTTGATTTTGAAATGTAAAAGAGGGGTTTTCAAATGAGTTCTTGAGAAATGTAGTATGGAGTGTTTATGGTCGAAATATGTTGAAATGGTAGATTTCTTTACTTAAAATTGATTTTGAAAGTAAAGGGGATTTTATTCTAAAATCATGGATATTTGGTTTTGTGAAAGAAAATGGAAAATGATGTTGGGTTTTGGAAGAATGGAATGAATGTGTATGTTGATAATAATGGTGGAGTTGGATATGTAATATCACTCATATTTTGAAAATGATGAGATTATATCTTTTGTTGGAAATTATCAGTTGAATAGAATTATCTATTTTGGGTTATCGGTAGAGGATAGCTTAAATTGTTGTAGAAATTGTACGAGGATTAGGTGAATTGAAACCAATTACTCATACATCTTACATTGAGCATTGTTTCATGCTTTAACATTGAAGATGTATTGTTTTGAGAAGAAGGGGTGAATACCTTGGTAAATATGGTTAGAGGATGTGGTTGTGGTTATTATATTAGCCTGTGTGTCTTTGATAAAAATTCACAAACCCATACGGTTAGGTGTCAATCCTTCCAGTTAGTACCGGTAAAATGGCTTTCGTAGTGCTTGTATAGCTTACTAGCAGATACGTACTTAGAGATTCCTAGTGTTTTGTATCCACTGTCTTGTTTTCTGATATAAAAGGTTATTTTCATGAATTGATTTATAATATGACATCGCATTGTTTTGAGGTGGAAATGTAAAATGTTTGACAACTGGCATTCATATGCATTCACCTTATGATTTTGTTAAGATTCATATATTATGTTAAAGTATCTTTACTAGGCTTTAACTCACCCTATGTGGAAAATAACTTTCAGGTGTTGATAATATGCCTCCACCAAGGACATAATTTGGGAGGACTTAGAACCAAGAGCTTCCTTTTGTGTATTTGATGTAATTATTTTGTACAAGCCTTGGGGTTTAATTGTATTGAGTTGAACTCATTTTGATGTACTCAAGTATCGACTTGGAAAGATGTAGCCATTAGGGCATATAATTACTTGAATTTTCTTTTATTTCAATGTTGGTACACATGCCATATGCTATAGATTTAAGATCTAGGATTTATGAATGTATACACGCATATGTCATCTTTTATATGATCAAGGATTATAAATAGAATATAAAATATGATGGTATTGATCAATTGTGAGGAATGTTATGAGATGGGTTATTATTATTATTATTTTGGGACGTTACAACTTGATATCAGAGCTACCAGGTTTGAATACTTTGGAATTGTAGGATATGATTTTTACCATAATGGGTTATCTCGCTAGATGATATTAGAAGTAGACATGATATTCTATATGATACATGCTTATATGACTAAATGAGTATGAGATTTAATTTCTAAGATATTGATTGGGTCTACGAGTTTCTAGAAGTCCTGTTAGAAGAACACTTGGTCACTACTATTTCTAATTGGAACTCTGGCAATGTCATGGGACGGTCATTATCTAGAAAGGAAATTCGTTTGTGTTATGTGATTAGGCGCTTATGTGAAGTGAATTATTAGTTGTCTATCGTATTAGGATGTAAGTGAATTAGCTTCGGTTTTGATGTAATTATTTTGTACAAGCCTTGGGGTTTAATTGTATTGAGTTGAACTCATTTTGATGTACTCAAGTATCGACTTGGAAAGATGTAGCCATTAGGGCATATAATTACTTGAATTTTCTTTTATTTCAATGTTGGTACACATGCCATATGCTATAGATTTAAGATCTAGGATTTATGAATGTATACACGCATATGTCATCTTTTATATGATCAAGGATTATAAATAGAATATAAAATATGATGGTATTGATCAATTGTAAGGAATGTTATGAGATGGGTTATTATTATTATTATTTCGGGGCGTTACAACTTGGTATCAGAGCTACCAGGTTTGAATACTTTGGAATTGTGGGATATGATTTTTACCATAAAGGGTTATCTCGCTAGATGATATTAGAAGTAGACATGATATTCTATATAATAGCATGCTTATATGACTAAATGAGTATGAGATTTAATTTCTAACATATTGATTGGGTCTACGAGTTTCTAGAAGTCCTGTTAGAAGAACACTTGGTCACTGCTATTTCTAATTGGAACTATGGTAATGTCATGGGACGGTCATTATCTAGAAAGGAAATTCGTTTGTGTTATGTGATTAGGCACTTATGTGAAGTGAATTATTGGTTGCCTACCGTATTAGGATGTAAGTGAATTAGCTTCGGTACATTTGTAAAAGTGCTAATATACTGTGTTACCTTTATTAGGATGTTAGTATGTGGTGGTGGTAGGCGTGGCAGGCTTAGGTGGCATGAGGTGTCATTACCGAATGACATTTCGGCAAAAGAAGGGGGAGTTGGTTAGGCTAACGTGGCCGAGCCAGTAGGTCAGCAAGCCATGGGTGCTTTGGCCCAAGAAATGGCTGGAGCTTTGCAGGAATCCATGGACATTCTTAAGGTTGAAAATCAAGTCCAGGCCTATGTTTCTAAGGCATGGCTGTCTTTGCTGAAAAGGGAGTTTTTCCAGTTGAATTCGGATGAGTTTTTGTGAGATCCGAAAGAGCCACTGAAGGTTGATGAGTGGCTTGAGCAGATGATGAAGACGTTCGAAATGCTTGGCATCAAGGACAATGTTTGAGGGTAACCTTGGCATCCTTCCAGCTGAAGGGAGATGTGGGTCAACGGTGGAAGTATGCGCAAAGGCGTCTTGGGGTGACTTGGGAGGCTTTTGTCAACACCTTCCAAGACAAGTTTTTGCCGCCCACTGCTAGGGAGAAGTTAAGAGATCAGTTCCTAAAACTCAAGCAGCTGAGCACACCTGTAGTTGAGTTTGAGGCTATTTTTTATTAGCTTCTCTACATTTGCACCAGAACTTGTGGTAACAGAGGAACGCCATTGCGTCGAGTTCGAGAAGAGGTTGAGGATTGGGCTCATTTTCAAGGTGGTCGGGTCTATGATTAGGGATTACAGTTGCCTTGTAGAGGTGGTGGCTTACCTTGAGACCCTGATCTAATTTAAGGAGGAGTGGATGAGTGGCATTGGACAGATGAGTCAGGAAGTTCAAGGGGAGGTACGGGACAACAAACAATAGAGGGGTTCTATCCCACAGTAGTCCCAAGAAACACAGTTCAGATCTACTTTTCCTATACCGACTTCTTGTTAAGGGAAAGGTAGTTAGGGTGGGATCACTTGTTTCAAGTGTGGTCAGTTGGGCCACGAGTCTTTAGTTTGTCTGTAGAGAGAATGAGAGCAATAGTCTGCACCATCTTCAGCTCATCCTTAAAGCCAGAGTCAGGAGAGAGGGCAACCACCTACTTGTTATCAGTGTGGGTAATCGGGGCACTTGAGGAGGCTTTTCCCTCAAGCGAGTAGCACATTTGGTGCGTCTGGTTCGAGACAGATACAGAGCCATCAGCCTATCCATTCTGTGCAAGCCTTGAGAGCCAATCAGGGAGCCTTTTCAGCTCATTCCATGTATCAAACCTATGCTCCGAGGGGTGAGTAGGTAGAACAGAGACCTACAGGGTGCATGTATGCTGTTACTACGCTGAATCAGTTGCCAGCGCCTTCTGTTGTGAGAGGTAACTTTTTGTTGTTCAACTCTATTGCCAATGTGTTGATTGATATTGGTGCATCTCATTCCTTCATTTCGTCTGCATTCATATCAGCTTTGGGGTTAGAAGTGGCTCAGTTAACATCTCCGCTTAGGGTAGAGTCACCTGTTAGGGGGTAAGGTTGTCTTGGACTAAGGATGTCGCGGTTGTGAGATAGAGGTAGCCGATTGCTAACTTTTTTTTGCTTTTGTATTTTTAGATATGTTAGATTTCGATATCATCTTAAGCATGGATTGGTTGTCCCATGCCATTATAAATTGTTACTGTCAGAGAGTTATGGTGTGCACCTCGAGTAGTGACTATTTTTATTTTCTAGTGGACCAAGTTGATAGAGTTTTGTTGCCAGTGTATGACTTACGTGGTTGGGGCAAGCTTAATTGCCTTTTTGCAACTTTCTTGGGTAATGAGAGTGATGTGGTCCGAGTTGAATTGCCGAGAGTAGTTTGTGAATACCCAGACGTCTTTCTAGAAGATCTTACTAGCTTCTCACCTCACCGAGAGATTGAGTTCTCCATTAACTTAGTGCTCGGCATGGTACCGATTTCTATGGAACCGTATAGATTTGCACTCGCTGAGTTGTATGAGTTGAAGATTCAACTCCAAAATTGTTAGATAAGGGCTTAATTAGCCCTAGTACATCGCCTTGGGGAGTACTGACTCTTTTTGCTAAAAAGAAGTATGACACATTGCGATTGTGCATCGATTACCTGTCATGCCCCAAAATTTGGACAATTAAATATTAAATTAGGACTAAACCCCAATCAATATTCCATCATGCAAATCCTAGGGGTGAAACAAAATCTAAACGTTCTCGTCTCCATAAGGTTTAAGTAAATTTCCATGCTCAAAAGATTACAAGGGATAAAAAAAAAAAAACTAACAAAGCGCCAACCAAACCATCCACCATAATTTCATAACTGTCCAATACCTCCAACATTAAAGTAACAATAAATAGTCAAAACAACTTAAATAATGTAAAGTTACAAACCATGCCAAATTATCAAAATACTAAGGTCATAAAAAAATAATAAATACATAAACAAATATTAACCCTTAGCTCAAGAAAATAAAAGAAGTCCAAACGACATGTCCAACAACTATAATTATTTATCGTCACCACCATAGTCCCAACTAATCTTGCAAAGGAAACTCGACTGCACTTAAATAGAACACACCCGAGTTGCCAAGAGACAAAACAGGTCAGTATACAAGTATACTGCTATGAGTATAAATATTTGACACCCACGTGTCCACCAGACACAAATAAAAGTACATTTAATTCTTATTATGGGACAAGACAAGTAGTTCTACCCTCACTAAGACGAAGGGGTAGTTTCCCGTGATACGGTGGCATTTAGTTTCTTACCCGTACACAACTAAATATAAATTGAGTATAGAATGAACAAAATAAACATAAAAATTATAGTGGGTTAGCCCTACATAAAAAGTTAGTAAGACCCACTAGTCTGCAAAAAAAATAGAGTTAGTATAATTTAATCATAAGTAAATTGCTAAAGCAGTATAAACATGCATTGTTTCATACTTAAATCATTCGAATTGGCCAAGAACAAAAGTTGTACATAATCAAGTTTTCTAAATGGCTATGCAAACAAATTTAGTAGAAACTGAATAGTTTGAGAAAAAAACTTAATAGAAGAACCTAAACGAAATTCGATCGAAAAAAATTTAGAACTGAAAACGAAAAGAAATGGTCCTAAGATGATTTTTTTTTCTTCTGAAAAGTTCAAAACACAAAAAGTGTTCAGAATAATGTTTTACTTTAATTTATGCGAAATCAATAAAAATGAGCTCGTTTCGTGAGTTAAAACAGTTTCTAAAATCTACATTGCTAAAATGAATAAAAACTACTATAACCATGATCATCCGATTATAAGTTCTAATCGATCTTTTTAGTACAAAGTTAAAATACAGAAGTTGTCTAGAATTATGTTTACATGCTTCTGCCCAAATTTCATAATTTATCAAGGTCGTTTACTATTTTTCAAGATGTACAAATCAATATAATTCACACTATACCAATAAACTCATATTTAATTATTTGTACCTTAACTCCACCACTTCGGCCCTTCACTTTCGGTTTACACATATATCCCATGTGCCTTCCGTATACCTAACACCGCTCTGAAGCCAAATTTTTACGGGGATATCGTCCCAAGTTTGATTCACACTCCCCAGATGGTTAGTATATATGTACGCGCGTAAATCAAAACACTCGTCTACTCATGAGAAAGAGGCATCAATATATATACACAATCTTTCATCTACTCATGAGAACAAATATAACAAAGTCAAGCCTAAGGCATTTAAATAAATCTCATAATCCTCACTTTTTTTTTTTATACACTCTTTTTCACCAACGCTCAAATAAAACAACAATCCATGGAATCATGGTGGAGTATAAAGAATTTATCTATGGATTCTAAGTTTATTTTAATTTCATATATCCATGAGTGTGATTACAACCATAAAATAAATACATATAAAACCCTAAACCTGACACACACAACTAATTAAAATAATTAAAATCAATCTATCATCTTCATGTAAATACAAAATCAAACCAACATCAAATAAATATAAATAAATAAAAATAACAAATTAAACATAAATTAAGAGAAGTGAGTTTTGCACTCACAATATTTTTTTAAAGATCAAAGAATCACTTGAATAATTAATAAAGTCACCAAAATAAGACCTTAATATTTTTTTTTCCTTTTCTCCTCTGCGTCTCTCTCTCTCTTCCTCTCGATTTGCACTATTGATTTTGATTAATCTCTCTCTCTCTCTCTCTCTCTCTCTCTCTCTTCTTTTTTCTTTTTCTCTTTTCCGTGGCTGCTCCTTTCTCTTTCTGATGATCCTATTTGTTTTGCTTTTGTTTTGTTAGGCAACCTATGCTTTTGTTAACCTAATACTATTATAACCTAATAACATTATATTATATTTTATTATATAAATACAATATATATAGATATCCCATATAAGATCAATATAAATAATTTCTTTTTGGGTGAATTATACTAACGGTCCCTATAGTTTGGGGCTTGTGTCATTTTGATCATTGGCTTTTAAATTGCGACATATTTGACACTGAATTTTGAATCTTGTTCAAAATAAGGACAATTGAAGATACCATTTGATTTTTCAAGGGCAAAATCGTCAATTTGATAAAATATAACTAATTTGACTAAAATAAATGTCAAAAAAATATTTTGAAATTTTTAAAAATTATTTCTACCCACTAAAGATAAAATTATGTAAAATTGATAAATCTTTTAGACATTTATTTATTTTACCAAATTAATTTTTATTATGTGTTTGGATGATAATCATGTAATGGGTGGTTGTTTTTGTTTTCATTAAATTGGTTTCTATTTTTCCAAAAGTCAAATAAGCCGACAACTTTGATATCATTATTAAATCAATCCATTAAATAAAAAAAAATCCAAAACTAAAAATATTTCATATATTAAATGTATCGATTACACATTAAAATTTTAACAACTACCCATTACATGATCATCATCTAAACATATAATAAAAATTAATTTGGTAAAATAAATAAATAAACAAATGTCTAAAAGATTTATCAATTTTGCATAATTTTATCTTTGGAGTGTAGAAATAATTTTAAAAATTTTAAAAATACTTTTTTGACATTTATTTTTGTCAAATTAGTTTATATTTTATCAAATTGATGATTTTACCCTTGAAATTAAGCAATGGTATCTTCAATTGTCCTTATTTGGAACAAGATTCAAAATTCAAGATCAAATGTGTCACAATTGAAAAGTTAGGGACCAAAGTGACATGAGCCCTAAACTATAGGGACTATTAGTGTAATTTGCCCTTTCTTTTTTTATACATACAAATATATATATATATATATATATATTTGAATTAATTATATGTAATTAACTAAAACATTAAATTAACTAAGTAACACATTAAATTCTCATGTAACCACACAATTAATAAATCCAAAAATAAAATAAAGTAATAATAATCATAATAATAATAAATAATGACTTACGAAAAATTAGGGTCGCTACATCACCGGAAGTTAAACCGAGTAACTGTTAAGAACGAGTACCTATTATCACGCATAGATGATCTGTTTGACTAATTGAAGAGGTCTCATAGTTTTTTAAGGATTGACTTGAGATTTAGTTATCACCAGTTGAGAGGGAAGGAGGACGATATTCAGAAAACGACATTCCGTACGTGGTATAACCATTATGAGTTCTTAGTAATGCCTTTTGGGCTAACCAATGCACAAACTTCGTTTATGGATTTGATGTATCGAATCTTTCTTAAGTTCTTAGATCATTTCATGGTTGTATTTGTTGACGACATCTTAATCTACTCACCTTTTGAGGAGGAACACAAGGAACATTTACGGGTTGTACTTGAATTGCTTTGAGCACATCGTTTATATGCTAAGTTCGAGAAATGTGAGTTATAGCTAACGGAAGTGAAGTTCTTAGGCCATATGGTATCTGGGGAAAGGGTGACTGTAGACTCTTCTAAGATAAATGCAGTGCAAGATTGGAAACAACCTAAGAATGCCTTTGAGATCCGGAGTTTCTTGGGTTTTGCCAGGTATTACAATAGTGATCCCGGTTGTTCCTTTTCTGTTCAATTGTATTCCGGACTTGGTTCCGTGGAGTTAGTAGTTGTATTTACCTTGTTGTCGTCCTTTAAATCCATTGGTTTGAGTTTTAGGATGTGTTGGGCTTGGTTGTTACAGGTTGGTAAAGCTTTGGCTCCCATTGTTGTTGCCCAGTTTTTGAATGGTCCGCTCGAGCGAGGTTTACACCCTTTCAGCATTTCGTGTCCCTGCAAAACTTCTGCAGGTGTGTTTTCTACGGTCGAGCGGGTTTCTTACGCTCGAGCGGGTCGAGCTTGAGCGGGCTTGTTGGCGCTCGAGCGGGTAGTACCTCGTTGGTGAAAGTTCTGGGAGATAAAAATCTACGCTTGAGTGGACTGGTCTTTCGTGCTCGAGCGGGTGTGCTTTGTCTTTGTGTCTTGGTGCTCGAGCGGGCATTCTTGCATTCGAGCGGACCCAGTTTTCTGTTCTTGACGCTCGAGCGTCCTGTTATCTGCTCGAGCGGGAATGTCGTATATCAGTTGACAGCTGGGCGTTTTAAAATCACTTTTTACATTCTCTCTCTCTCTCTCTCTCTCTTACTTTCTAAAAACACTTTTGAGAGCTTCTCTCTCTAGGATCTCCCTTCTCTCTAGGGTTTGATCTAGTTCGAGTGTCCCCCTACCCTTCGGCCTTTGTGAAAAGTGTGTTGATCGTCGAGGGCTTCGTTTTGATCTGTGGATCTTGGTATTTGGAGCATTTTGGTTTTCTTCGACTTCCCCGTTTGAGCTCTAACTTCGAGGTAGGGATATCCTACCCCTCTTTATGAGCTTTGTCTTTGAATTTTAGCATTTTGATATGTTGGGGGTTGTTGGGTAATTTTGAGAAAGTTTGGGTCTTTGTGTAGTTTTACAAAAGATGGGGTTTTATTTATAATTAAACCTATATGCATGTTTGGCATAGAGAAATGAGACAGATGATGAACTGTGGATGAAAATGGAACCTTGGGGTTGTTATGTTAATTATGGGAAAATGCCCTAATTAGTTGGATAAATTAATTTGTATAATTAATTTTAAGAAATGAGGAATTGAATTGAGAATATTCAAATTGAAAGATTATGGGATTAAAGGGGTGTAGTTGGATCATTTATCACTCACCTAGTTGATATGTTGATATTTTATCCATTTGGTGTGCTTATTTTCTGTTTAGAAATAACTGCTTTGGGCTATCGGTGGAGGATAGTCTTGATTGTTGTAGACAATGCATGATGATTAGGCAAACTAAAACTAATCGATTGAGTAGGCTATCGAGCATAGCGGTTGGATTAATACATTAACTTTATGTATTGATTGTTTATGTATATGATCTATGTTTATATACATTGTGTGTGTGGGAGGAGATAGGGGATGTACTCCGCGATTTAGGGGAAGATAGGGGATGGACCTCTAAATCGGATTGTGTGTGACCTTGATACAGCACTACAATGTGTATCGAGCGTTGATTATGGAAGTGTTTAAATTGATTTGATATAGTACTAAAATGTATATCGTTATCAATTATGAAGTATAGAAGTGTTTCTATGTTATGTTGATACAGTACCAAAATGTGTATCGTTCGTACAATATGGAAGTGGTTTATGTGTTATTGATACAACATCAAAATGTGTATCCATTATGAATTTCGAAAGTGTTTTAAAGAGGAGTCTTATTCTCATTAAGTTATTTGGCTAAGTTTTGGGCCTTGTTGTCAAACTCAAGGTTGAAAAAGAAATGAGAAATAAAACGTAACATGGACTTAAATGTCATGGAACTGGAATGTGATATAAGTGGGTGTACCGGTGTTGACCATCTGTCAACTGCTAATCTTTTAGGCATTGTTCATAGATGGTTTAGTATATCTCTGCTGGACTGTGGCTCATCCTTTATGGGACATCATTTTCAGGTACAGGTAGCATGCCACCTCCAAGGACATAGCTTGGGAGGCTAGACGCAGACAGGCTCCTTTTGTTGTTTGCTTTCTTTTGATGTATTACATGTAAATTCAAGCCAATGGCTTAATATGTATTGAGTTAGCACTCTTCTTTTTGTAACCAAGTGTTAACTTGGAAAGCTGTAAGCCCGTAGGGCATTTGCTTTTGTTGTTAACATGTAATACTTTTGTAAGAACTACTTTGATTAATGGAAAGATATTTATTTCTCTTATATCATTGCATGTCTAAAATGATGGGTTTTATGTATTTTTTTGAGGGCGTTACAACTTGGTATTAGAGCGTACCGGGTTCGATTACTTTGGGTAAGTGGGAAGTGATTAGTATCACAATGGGTTTGTCTCGCTTGTTAGTGACTTATGTGTGACATTATGTGTTTGTTGGATAACATATTTATGTGACTACTTGGGTATGGGATTTAGTTTCTAGGATGTTGATTGGATCCTTGGGTTTCTGTGAGTCTTGTTGGAAAAGCACTTGATCAATGCTGTTTCTAACCGGAACTCTAGTAATGCCTCGGGACTATCATTATCCGAAAATGAAATCCGTAA